AAGGCGTTAAGACGTGTGTTGGAGTTTCCAACAAATTAGTTACCTAGTAGGGAACATTGATGATCAAATTACAACACTTCAGACAAGATGGTAACTAAGCTAGGATATCCGACACATAATTATTTCCTATACGCTAAGTTGCGCCATATTTATTTTAATTCCTGGTTGTGGTCCAGGCACCAAGCAGAAAAGAATTGGCATAAAAGCAGTGGACTACTGAAATGACGGTAAATGTGGATGTGCTCTCCTCTTTGCAAACATCTTTTAAGGCATATCTACTTCTCATATTCCACTGTTTTGTGAGTCTACACGGGAAAAACACCTCAACTAACGAGTCCTATTCATATTCAATTGCACTCGAGGATACTTCATTTCTGCATTGCATAACTTTAGTGTGGTTATCCTGTTAAAAAGACTGCAGCCCACTGAATTATTTGAATGAACATGCCAAAAGTTATACCTCAGAAGTAATTAGTCAAAAATAATAAAGCTCTTAGATCCTGCAAGTTGTACTACCACTGGCTGACATCGCATGACCTTGTGTCATATAACAAAATTGCTGTGGAAGCTCAGCAATGTGGTAGAAGCCTCAATTTTGTATAGTCACCTTAACTGACACGGTATGCATAAGCCCAGTGTTAAAAGACTCAAGTATGTGAAGAGAAAAGATTAGAGTATGTGAAGAGCCTTCACATTGCATAGGAAGGGGCAATCATTGAGGACGATGTCACCTTTAAGGAGGAGAGATCCTGTTAGCAGCCCATTTTAAAGTGAAAGCCGTTGTGCTCTTGCGAGATCGCAACAGCCATTTTCGGGGCCGCAGTTGTCCACCACCACCGGTGTTTGTAACTACTATAGCGTGAAATTATAAAAGAGCAAAATGAGGGAAAAAAAACATTCAAGAGACATTGGTGTTTGAAGCTGGACCCCCTGCGTGGAAGTCGAGTATTCTACCACGAGCCTGGCTACTGCTTGAGACTGTGATCTAAACAGACTATATGAAGACTTCATGTCTGAGAAGTAATCTTGTTACATGTGTAATATAGCATTTTAGAAGAGTAAACATACAACCAGGCGTCACACCATATTAATTGCATAACGAGTGGGCCATTGAATGCTTCCAACTATTACAAAAGGTTTGGCCATCATTCATCAGCCATAGCATCAATAGAGTGCGCATAATGCCTTACAGATATGTAGAGAGTACAACACTTCTTGGAAGAATAATGGCTTAATAGGTGCTTCCCTACATTACAAAAATTAAATATGATTCATGGTGTAGTCGCTCCAAGTTCTTTCTTCTAAGGTTTAAGGACGTCATTAAATACAAAGTGGCAGGACTCTGGGAAGTACTCCTCCTAGGTGGAAGTCATTCCTTCTAGCAGATAGAGAATTCTACACAATGTTGCAGTACTAGACTTCTTATAGAGGAAGGTTGCTCCCACAGGATGGCAATAAAAGTTCAAGTATAGTATTCTAGTTTACAGGGCACAGGACAACTTAAGACAAGTCCCAAGAACTGCCATGTCCATGATAAAAAACCTAGACAGACAGTAGTATATTTGCAAGATTATAACTTCTCATTTTTATTTCTTTCTAAATGTAGCCCTCGAATGTCTGTGCACATTACCACTGGACCCAAAAGTGAAATCAGCATCAAGTTTTGTCTTTCTCAGATTTTTCTAATTTAAAAAGACCTGCACATTAGAATGGAGGAACATCATAATCATGCAAGCGTGATATGTCTGCTCCCAACCTCAAAGAGTTGGCTTTTTCATGTGCTTACAGTTGTTCTACCTCCCCTTCCCATACCTCTGCAATTGCTGTGTTGAGGCCACTGGCAAGCACAAAGCACCCACTTATCACCAAGCTGGTGGATGGACAAGCCCATCAGCTCGAAGTGCACAGCAAGTTCTGGGTACCTTGGAGCCAGTCCTTGCAAGCCTTATTTGACATCATGAATTGTAGTCTACTTCATGTAAGACAGTCGAAGTCATCCTGTTTGAACCCTGCAACAGTTCAGTTTTATGACCTCCTAGGCTTGATTGGTACAGGCTGCTATGCATTCAAGCACATTATTTTTTCTTCTCTATTTTTCCCCCCCTTCCCCTTGGTAAAGTAGCAAACTGGGTGCAACCTGGTTAATCTCCCTGCCTTTCCTTTGCTTTTCTCTCTCTCTCTCTCTGCCTATTTTGTAACTTTCAGACGGAGTTAACAAGTTTGAGAGGTGCGGAACGATGCCCTTCCTTCCTTCCCTGTCCTGCAGGTGTCAAGGCCACATTCAAGCACCTCTTGAACATGCCAGAATATTCAAAGCAAGCTGCTTCATGGTGCATGAATGCTATGTCCGGGATGATCGAGGAGCCTAAGACACCACCTGCCGACACCAAGAAGCCATCAAAGTAACTTCACAGAGCCTAGGTGATCAGCTGTAGTAAATTGATAGCAGTGTGCACAAATAAAGCCGTAAAGCTGTTCTATTCCTGTTTCATTCTTGTTGCACCTTTGTTGCAGGAGCACATAGAGCATAACACAATCGGAGTGTGGAGAGGGCAGCTCGAATCGTTCACAAGCGCATGACAGGTGCGTGCACCTGCTTTTAAAGTATTAGTTGGACAATACAGCTTTTGTATGCGTCTCAGCCTCGATCATGTGCATATTTTTGTTGTGTGCCACCATTTATTAAAATTTGACCCTGATATATAGACTTGCATGTACATTCTGCACAAAACATAGCAGCGATTGCAATATTAAAAAGCAACAAAAGGAATTACAATTACTGTGACTGGTTTTAAATTTATCTATGCAACCTGCACACTAAAGGCACTCAGGCATGCTTCACTACAATGCCTATCACACCAGCCATGGAGCTTTAGCACCATGACACACCAGCAAACTCTTCTGAAATTGTTGCATGCAAAGTTTTCAAGTTCAGCATCAAGTCTCACTAAGATAGACTCTGTTGGCAGAGAGTTTTTAAATGATAGGCTGAATGAGCACAAAGCAAAGAAAGAAAAAAAAGTGGTTGAATTTAGGAATCGGTATAACACGAAAGTGAGACGTGTCCTCCTAGTGATAGTTGAGCATTCATTGTGTTGTTTCGCCACAAGGGTGAAGGAATTAATGCTACAACACAAATTGCTATCTCACGCAAAGAACGGCAAGCAGCTCGAAACTTGTAGCGCACACCTCAAGCACAAAGCATGCGCAAAATGAGCATGCACAGAACGAGTGCGGACAAACTGTCACAGCTCAACACTTAAAGCATTGCTGCTCAAACAAAAAGAAAGATGCACGAAGTGAACACACAGGTATACACAGGACGCGCACGAACAACTGTCACAATTCTTACTTGGTGTGCGAGCAGCATGCTAATTCGTAAACGCGGCGAGCGAAGTGACATTCGTGTTCACTTTACCTACTGTAACTTTCAAGCTAATTTGCGGTGGAAGCGCAAAGGTACAAAGCACCCAAATCCCGAGATAAGCGAGGGGGCCACCAGGCTAGAGAACATCAATACGTACTTTGACCACACCATGTGGCCACACGCATGCATAGCGACACGTGGGATGGCGCCAACGAGCACCTTCAGAGCGCACGCGCCTGTCGGGTCATTTCGCTACTGATGTCAAAAATGTGCTATAGTTGCTCAACTTTGAGTATTGCCAACGGTACATGGTGTATATAAATGGCTTGCCGTTGACAAGTTGGAAAAAGGTCGTTCCGTGGCTTAGTGGTTAGCATCGCGTGCTGAGGAGCGTGAGGTCGCTGGTTTGACGTCCTGCTGCGGAACTTTTCCTTCCCGTTTTTTTCTTTGCAATGTGTTGGTAAATATTTTACGTCATATCTGTGACAGAAATACGTCAGCAGAGCCATGGCGAACCCCTGCATAAAGCACTTTTGTGTTAAAAATGTAAAAAAAAAGCCAGGAGGCTGGAGGAGATGGAATCTTGTCATTCAAAATTCATGACAGGGTGCGTACTGGAGCCAACAGGCAAGTCTGTCTGTTGGCTCCAGAGCACAACCCCGTTAATGAATATTACACAATGCGCATGTGGCATTATGTGCTGTGCCTACTGTGCTTTCTATTGTTATCACATGAGCAAATTAAAAGGCATTGAATCTGAGGATTATATGCCACAAAGATATGAAGCAAGACCTAGTTTGCGTTTGATAATCACGAATTTGCCTAATAATACTTCACTGCAACACGGGCATGTATTACAGTGAAGCCAAGTAGTACTTGTGCCTAACATTTTTATATTTAGAATTACCATCACAATAAACTTCCAAGTATATCCCTTCCAGATGCTATACATTCAGAGTTCTATGATGCACTATTTCATAAATTGAGATTTCACCAGTTCCATGTCGATCCGCCTTAGAAAGTATAGGTCAGGTAATCTTGAAACCTCTTTCTTTTATTACTCGAATTACACGTTACTTATGAAAGTCAAAGGTTTAAAAAAAAAACCATTCCAGTGGTTTCCAGTGCCTAGACACATACTCACTTCAAGAGTTCCAGGGCTTTCAAGTGTTCCGGGGATTTATAGACACCCCGAATCGTGGTACCTATTACAGAGTCCGTGGGTGGCGAGTGCAGAATTTCCCATGGTTAAAGAAAAAGACATACACATTGAAGAAAGCTGATGACTGACCAACAGCTGTCAAAGCAGTTCTAAAGGGAAAGGACTACATGAAAATGAAAGTTTAGATCCTGCCTGTAGAAAGACGTTTCATCCACATTTTAATGAAAACTAATTTCCCCATGCTATTTCCCCTTTCATTGTATATGTTCTCTTCTTATATAACACAAAAAAATCCAGCCCCTCAGCTGCATTAGTTGCTCTTGCTCAGTATGGCTAGCTGCATGCTGCGCTTATTTGGTCAGTCTGCCCAAACTTTTTTAAAGGCCCTTATTGAAAGCACACAAAGCCTGCATTTATGTACAATGCTTGTGCTTAAAACCCAGAACAGAAATCAGATGCAGAATGCAGCAATGGGTTACCACAGGTAGTTTTTAATTGAACATGCAACTGTCACGAGTAACTAAAATGATATTTACAACATGCTATGCTCGTTTATCTGGTACACATTCCTGGCACAGTTTTGAAAAAATGCACAATCTCGCTACTTACTTTAGAAACAGCTCACCACATAAGGCGGGGAGGGCAAAAATTAAAAAGTGATAAAAAGCATGCTTTTGCTGTTATCACGGTATATAAAAATTCCTTCATAGTCGCTGCATCATGTCATACTGTACATTAATCGTGATGCCTCGTGCAAATGAATCTAGAAGCTGCTCATGTGTCGTACAAAAAGGCTTTCAAAAATATATAAAATGATATTTACAACATGCTATGCTCGTTTATCTGGTACACATTCCTGGCACAGTCTTGGAAAAAATGCACAATCTCGCTACTTACTTTAGGAACAGCTCACCACATAAGGCGGGGAGGGCAAAAATTAAAAAGTGATAAAAAGCATGCTTTTGCTGTTATCACGGTATATAAAAATTCCTTCACAGTCGCTGCATCATGTCATACTGCACATTAATCGTGATGCCTCGTGCAAATGAATCTAGAAGCTGCTCATGTGTCGTACAAAAAGGCTTTCAAAAATATATAAAACATCTAGCACCAAAGTGCAGCGTGGCGAAAATAGCTTACAAACACCAGAATAAAAAAAGTTGTTGGTGGCATAATAAACATAACGTCTACTGAGGTCCGCTCATCTCTTGTGTCGCCTGATTGAGTGATTCCATGGCTATCCTGGGAATTTCGCTTGGCCTGGTGCTAACTTCAGGAGCATGACTTGATGCGTCCTTGCTTTCTTGGTCCGAAAAAGTCCCATGACTTCTTTCCTGCAAAAGGCAACCCACGGTAAGTCCGGCATCATGCAAAAAGCAAATATGGCACGATCTTATTAGACAGTCAATAATTATTGATTCAGCTTTTCTCTAAGTTTCTTGGCTAAAAAGAAACACTACAATGCATTACAAGAGCTATAATGTACAATTTCGTGACCAGTAAACAGCTAGTTTGGTCGTATTATGCATTTTTGTTCTAGCACAAATATAACAGAGGTGAATGGCATTCAGTAGCCACACAGAAAGAAGCGAGCTTTCTAGGTCATGAAAACGAGCATTGTAGTCACCTGGCCAGTATTACATTACTTGAGTTTGCAGTCCCTTTCAGCTGAGATTCGAGCTCAAAAAGCCACCACACAGACAAATCATTTGACAGAGACAAGCCGATATAAAAAAAAATTCTGGAATTTCACTTGACAAAAGAATATGATTACGAGCATGTCATTGTGGGGGACTACACATTTATTTTGACTGTATAGTTTTTTAACAGTCGTGTACATATAATTACAGGAGTGTTCTTGCATTGCACCCACAGTGAAACACAGCTGTGGTGATTCGGAATCAAACATGCGTATTCGAGCTTTGCAACACATCGCATTTGCCCACTAAGGTACCATGGAAGGTACAGAAAAGACGAAAGGTAGTGAAAGCCTCACAGCAGGTATTCAGTGAGCACAGTGCAAAGGGCAGTGTACTTCGTTCAGTCCCCTTATCACCCTCTTTTATATTTCACTACCCTCCCTTATCACACTGCACCATGTTCTTTCATGGATTGCAGAAATAAGTGTCTTTCCTGACTACAAACCATTATCCTCACAATGTGAAAGAACATAAAGTTAATAAAATACTTTGCTGGGTGAGCTAGTTCATAGTCTCAATACAAAATTGGAGCTCACTAAGATACCACACACTACCAACTGGTTATTTGAAAAAACTGAGGAAAATATGCACTCAATATGACACAGGTGTACCTGTGCACACATAAAAAGGCGAGTGTGAGCAAGAGATCTGCTACAAATTATGGCAAAGCAGCTCAAATTCACCCCCACAAACACACGAACGTTGGGTGACACCATCTGCACCCTTCTTTTCCCCGTGACAACCGTGCAGCTATTTTCCTACTCCTTATAGCACTCCGAATTTTGAAAACAAAGGCACACAGTCACACACCTCACAGTTAACAGAAAGATGTGTGTCGGTCATTAAACAAAGCCTGGCCACAGCTGGCTTTAGTAGTTTACTCACCTGAGAGTCTTGGCTTCCTGCAGGGTCCTCGCATTCCATAGGGGTTGAAGGAGGCTGCTGTTGCTGCTGCTGGGTGGGTGCTGTGGTTGCCCCACTACTCGCTTGTTGCTCAGTGTCCTCTGTGGGTGATTCTTGGCTGGTGGCAGGAGGAGGACTACTGCCTCTTTCTTCATCATCATTGTCCTCTTCTTCCTTGGGCACAGCCGAAGATTCTGTTTGGTGCTGCCCTCCCGTGGGGGCACAGGGGGGAGACGACGACGGTGTGTCCATGGGTTCGGGCAGACTGTTACCCTCTTTGGAGACACCTCCATTTTCTTCAGGCGAGCCTGTGGCGCCACTATTGGTTCCCTCTTTTCCTTCCTTAGGTTTGCTGTCGCCATTTCTACGCTGCTCTTCCTTGGCTGAATTGTCCTTCTTCAGCTGCTCCAGAGCACGCTCCACCATCTTCTGGTAAGTCTCCGTGTCGACAGCTTTTCCACAACGCTGCATGTACAGAGGCAGCAATGTCTCTCTTCTACTTGTTTATATGCGTGTATGAAGGCGTGTGCACCATATTTACTTTCTCGTGTACTTAGTACAAAAAAAAAACATGGCTCGTATGTTTCTCATTCGGCCAATTTTCCAGCTGTTGAGCCGCTAAAGTACCGTCACTGTGAAAAGCTCTTACACCTGCACGTATGTTACTAGCTCGCCTAATTCATTACTGTGTAAAAGTAAGCAATGCAGCCCAGGGCAGGCAGGGGATCAAAGAGATGTGGAAAAATGCTAACTGCCAACTTAGCTTTCATTAGACACAGAAGTTTACACAGAAATACAGAAAGCAATACAAAATGCAACAGAAGAGATCACCACTTCCCCCAAGCCTTCATGCTGAAGTTCAGGGGTGCGAACTCTTTTTGCAAAAAGGCAATCGATGGCTTACATAAACTTCTTTCATGTGCAACACTAGCTCCTTATGTATTAAGACAACGCAATAAGCCCAAACCACTACTCAGCAAAGTCACTATTCCACCAAGCCTACACAGCTTGCATTGCAAATTAGTGAGATTGAAAAGATATTCCACATTGCAAGGGCAGGCATTTTTTTTACAATTGAATACGTTTAGGGCATTGCTTAGAAAGAAATTTGACCTTTACTAGTAAAATGTGCGCCGTCACCACCTCCACTTCTAGTAGCCAATGCTGTTGGCAGAAATGTGCGTTGGTTACAAGAACGACGATGAAAGAAACTGCAGGGGAAAGCAGTAAGAAATTTCGTACCTTTTTTAAGTCTGCCTGAAATAGCTCGCTGGCATCAAGGATTTTTCGCTTTTTGGCTTCGAATTTCTCCTCAATCTGCTGCAGTTCAGCTTCCAATTTTTCCTGAAAGAAAGTTCTGCTATAACCAAATCATAAATGTACCTAGTGGGGAGAAAATACGGATTTCATCATAATCTGCAAAGAAACACAGCTAGCCCTCAATGCAACAATACTCAATACCTAATGAAAACTGGTATTTCCAGCTAAGCTCCTCGAAAAAAAAAAATCTTTTTTTTTCAGTAAAGAAATCAGATATGCACAGCAGTTGCGATTTAACTAAGCTTTTGTAACAGAGCGAAGCATGCAATACATTGTTTGCAAGGCGCTGGGAATGAAGGTGGCTGTCATACGCCAGTCATACGAAATCTCATAAAACTGGGTTGTATTCCCTAAAGTTGACACGGGAAACTACTTTCCTCCACTTCAGGTGCAAATCCTTTGCCACAGTGGTCTAGTGGCTAAGGTACTCGGCTGCTGAGTACCTTAGCATTGCACCCATGTCATGTCTCAAAGTCATGTCTCAAATCCCGGCTGTGGCAGCTGCATTTCCGATGGAGGCGGAAATGTTGTAGGCCCGTGTACTCAGATTTGGGTGCACGTTAAAGAACCCCAGGTGGTCAAAATTTCCGGAGCCCTCCACTACGGCATCTCTCATAATCATATGGTGGTTTTGGGACGTTAAACCCCACAAATCAATCAATCAATCAAGGTGCAAATCCTTTCAGATGCTGCATTGTTAACGGTGCACCGCCACAGCTGACGAAACATTCCCATTTCATTCGGGCACATGCGAGATTTATGCAGTGTAAAGCTCAGCTAATATACGACTAAGGATCAAGACAGCACAAAGGGACATACATACCTGGTGCATAGTGAGGGACTGCACTTGACGCTTAAGAACACTCATCCGCGCTGTTGTGACAACCGATCTTACGTCAGGCACTAGAGCATCACTGAAGATTTCGTTGATCAACCTGTGATTCCGCATGTATCGAGATGCTGCTATGTGCTTCACGGAGAACTCATCGATATCTGACGGGAGAAGGCATCATTAACACATGTTATCCACAGGAGGAAGTGGAACAACAAATACAACAACAACAATAATCCTGACTGTGACATTCCCGCAGTAAACAACAATTGTTCACTGCTAAGTGCCCTTTGTCCCACTTACATTTACTGCGACAATAGCATAAAACTAAATACATGCAATCTTTTGTAATGCTCCACAAGTATGATGGTCTGTAAATAGTAAGCAGTCGATTTTCGATACTTGGTGTTACTAAATAAAAAATTTTCTGTCGGTAAGCTCAGCTGCGAATGGTATCCTTCTTTGTGTCATTACGGTGGATGGGGCACCTTGGCCCAATACGACGTGGTACCATGCAAGCGATGGTAACCTACCCGCATAAGATAGATAGATATGTGGCGTTTAATGTCCCAAAACCACCATATGATTATGAGAGATGCCGTAGTAGAGGGCTCAGGAAATTTCGACCACCTGTGGTTCTTTAATGTGCACCCAAATCTGAGCACACAGGCCTACAACATTTCCGCTTCCATCGAAAATGCAGCCGCCGCAGCCGGTATTCGATCCCGCGACCTGCTACCTGCATAAACAAATGCACTGACAAAGATATAGTGAAAATTTACTGTCACATAGCTGCTGCAGTTGAGTGGCATGCATTCTCTCATAATAAATATGACCATTGTCAACTGGATGAGGCCACACTAGTTTGCTGCATTGCATTGCTCTTGCTGTGCTTCAATGCTATACACGAGCACTAAAGGAGACGCCAACAAAGTTTCGCAAGGCTTACACGGTGACGGGATATGCGTACTGACATTCCCCTTTTTTCTGTGGAGGTCTTTAAACATGATGTTATTTAACAAATTTAACAAGACCAGTTTGCTCACACTCGTCTTTTTTTTTTAACCCAGCTGTAAATATAAGAATAGATAGTAGTAAGCCAGTTTTGTTTCAACATGCCATTCATGCCAAGAGATCTTACAAAATCGGCCCATGAGAGCAAGACAACTGTAGCTAATGATAACAGGTTAATTCGGCACTGATGACACCTACTGAACAAAGTCGTTGCAGGAATGTGCATGTCAATGCAAGCGAAGCTTAAGAAAGCATACTTAATTCACAAAGCCCCCAATGAGAAATACTTGGAAGGAGACCTACCACTCAAACCCTTGACTTCCAAAAGGTAAATGCTATTGCTCATTGAGCCAGAGCTTATCCCTACATAAACGAGACAAAAATGGTCGCAATTACATTTCAATGAACTCGTGCTGCTGCAATTCACAGGCAAGGGAAGAAGAAAAGGCAAGTTCCGCATGTGGAAAAGCCACATTCACACAGCTGTCATGTACTCAGCTGGTCCAGAGTACAGTAAATATGAGCCGTGCACCTAAAGTTATCTTTTCCACTAAGTCACCTTAATTAATTGTAACCGGTCTTTTTCAGTCACTTGTAAATACAAGTACTTAAAACTTTTTTGGCAGGTGACGTGCATTCTGAGGTTTGTTCAGGCTTTTGAGATGTGGCTTTCAACATGCCAAACCATTTCACTAAAGCAAGCATTTTCGTAAATGTCATAGAGGCTAATTTACGAAATTAAGAACAAGAGGGGGGGTAAGTCTCATGCCAATATCAACATGTTGAGAAGCAGACCCATCTTCTCTCTGACTTGCCTATGGCGAGACGAAGAAAAATCGTTCAATCAATACACTGCTGCTCAGACTGAGGCTTCACCCTCTTGTTCTCTAGTTGATTTGTTTAACTCTCTGCATTGTTCTCTCTCTTATTCTCTAGTTGATTTGTTCAACTCTCTGTATTTCTGAGTAACCTCCAGCCTCAATTTGACATTATCCAGTTCATTACAGACAATCCATCTGTTTTGTCTTATTGTATTTATTTGGCCTTGTTGCTTTTTTATCATGCAAAATAACAAAAAAAAAAGCTTCACAAATGCAGCTGCTGTTATGCAAGCATAATGCTTACTCGTTCCAAATGTCAAAAATGAAAATTTATTTCAATATGTGCCATGTGTGTCCCGAAATGAACACATGCATTATAGTCATGTCTCAGTGCAAGTCTCAGTGCAACTTTAATTCTACAGTGCTAAGAACAGATCAATACAGACAAATGCATGATGGCCCTGCACTCCCTCTACTGCCCTTTGTAAGTAAACAATATGCTCGAGTTACGAAACAAAATTGACATAAAAGAGCCCATCAATCAATATCAAGACTTCAGATTACAGCAGCTCAATAGAATTGTGATGGTAGAAATAAAATAAGACGTGGATCATACTGAGCTGAAATTACACAGGTTCTGTGTATGATAAAGTGGCGCTAGCATTCATAGTAGTTGGAGGAAACAAACGAGAAAATAAAGTATGACCACACTTAACAATATGTTTTTTAAATAAAAAAAGATTGCCACTAAACTGACAATTTTTACGGCCCCTTGAGTCAAACTGCTCCACATTAAGCACAACAATACCTGCAATACATAGAATGGGGAAGCTAAATATTTCGCAATACCAGCCCTCGGGCTTATCCAAGGCCATAGTATCAATGAAAGAATATTCTTGCACTAATAGTAACTTTTTGGAAGTAGCTCTTCCGCGAATGCAGAACTATGCAACACATACAGCTTGGTTTGAAAGATAAGTCTCTTAACCGCTGAATAACAATAGAACTTGGCTGGCACCTTATCTACCATCTTTTTGCAGACTAAATAAATTTTCTATAGGCAGACATGGTCAGTTTAGATTTACTTTTTTCTACACTTAAGGTGTGAAATTAGACATTCAATCGGCATCAATAGTTAATACTGAGTGGGTACACTGTACCAAAACTAAAGAGGGGGAAGAAAGGGCAAAGTATAAGGGCAGAGTTTTCAAACAGCCTTATTTGAGAAACAAAACAAAACAGCCAGAAAAGTAGGAAAACTTTTAAGCACAGGGTGAAGTAAAAGACAGACTTCTCTGTCACGCATCAGCAGCAGCAACAACACCAAACTAAGAATGCTTTTCCAGTTGACAAGCGCTGGCCTCCAAATTTACTGAAAATTTTGCTGGAGGAAAGCAGCAGCAACAAATTCTTGATTAGAAATACACTGCCTTGAGGCTCTTGCCAATAGTGAAGAGGAACAAGCGTGCAACGAGAAACCGCCTCTCGCTCGCCACACCCTCGCTACAAGCCTACCTTTGACACCTGACGAGACACAACTATAAAGGATGTGTTCAGCACACACAAACACACACATACAAAAAAAATGGCACGAAGTAAACTCGTGATGCAGCCGCTTTTGCATCACGCAGTGCACGGGTGTTATATAAAAAAAAAAGAAATTGAAAGACTGTGGGTTACACAGGTTGATAACAGGACAGAACAAATTTAGTTTGCTTACTTCTCACCCAACACAAAAATGTTTTCTCAAACACCTGAACTGCCATGCTGCGCACCCTTTATGTTATCAAAATATTCCAACATATTACTTTAAAAAGATGCTTCTTATATTTGCAAGTTAAATGCCTTTCAGTTAGCAGCAGTTCCAAAGGTAGTTTTAAGCATTTAAACATTTCTAGAACTGCACTGGAATATCATTACCAAAGATTATTTTAAGTTAGAGCAGCATAAATATAAGCTAACAAGCCAAAGCATGGTCTCTAGTCAAAAGATTTCACAGTAATACGTGGTCAAGCGACATGTAAGGGCCTGAAATAGAACAGTGGCAGCATCGTGCTAAGACTGTAAGTGCACCTCACTTTATTCAGGATTTCAAAGTGAGAATTCAGATTTTATGACCGAGGGAGAGAAAGAAAGAAACTATGAGATCCGTAAAAGCAATATCTGCATCTGAAAGCTCACCATCCTCATCTTCTGCCGGCTGTATGCTAACCTTGCCATCACTTTTTTGAGAACTCATAAGGGACTGCAAAGGAAGGCACAGGCATGAGGAATTAAATGAGGAAAAAGTCATCCCTAGCAATGCCATGAAGAAAAAGAATGTGTCAGCCCAAATATTCGACATGACGACCAATATTGATTTGAACATAGATTTATAACACATAACCCTATGCGCACAAAAATTTAAAAGCATAGACTGTTTAGCCGTTAAAAAACTATGCTTACAAGAAGTCTACGGCAACAAGATGCATGCCTTTCTTCTGAAAATCTGAACAAACTTCCACACCACTTTCAATTCTTTATATTTTTATGCTTATGTCGTTTGCATATGCTGCCCGTGCCTGCCTTTTTTTTTTCTTCATAGCTATTTTTGTGTACATGTTTTTAAGTTTTTTGTTTCCGTGTGTTAATCATAATTATGCATATATTCTTGCATCTTATGGCTTAATTTTGGATTCCTCGTAGTATGTTCATATTTGTTATGTCACGTATGAGAAGTTATATATGTGTGTACAGTACAGTCGACTGTTAAAAGAATGAAGACTGTTAATCTGTTAATACTGCTGGCCTTCTAACAGCAAGTGGATAAGAAAACAATCTCCATGCATGTAACTTATCTGTCAAGAGGGGTCAGAACTTTCAACCACTAGTAGTCTTATACAAATCAAAGCCACTATGCCTCTGTGAGATAGAGAAATGTAAACTTGCTGAGCACGTGTTCCCTATAACAATGGATGCATCTGTACATCGGTGATCATCACTCTGTCAGGCTTTTTTTGCTTTCACACCGATTCCTTAGGCATTTATGTGTACTGGTTGTTTGAAATAAACATAAAATTAAAAACGAGGATAAGAGAAGCGCCGCAGCACTGACCGAACTTACAACCGATGGACTCCTTTCAAGGGCTTCTCGCTCTTCAGCAGCTTGCTGGGCTGAAAGCAGAGGACATACCTGTGAAAGTGTTTCTGCCTGAAACCAGCTAGCATAGAGAAGACATGAGCATATCCGGCTCATGTTGCCTGAAAAATACCATGCAAACTTCCCGTAGATTCACACTGCCCATTGTAAATGATGCCTAGCAATATTTCACATTTGTTCACTACGAACAGCTATAACAAATCACGATAAAATACTGAAATCGCACAAATTGAACTATGCTTTCAACTGATGAATTGAATGTTGCATAGCACAGACTGTCGCAAACACGTTAACACTAATTTTGCCAGACACTCACCCCTAACCTTGGCAGCCACCCATGCCTGGTATGCAGGGGAGCTGTGATAGGACTTGAGTGCCTCATTGTACTCCATCTGCAAGAGTGACCGAGAAAATTGGCACAACTCACCTTGAAGATGAGGGTTCATATGCATAGGGCTGTGGGATAAAGCTGAAGTAGCCATGCGTCAAGCAGGTTTTCATTTGGTATTATGGGAAAGGCAAGAAAAGTCAGTGTGGAAGTACACCAAGCTAATTCAAGTGCAGGAGAGGGCAGATCAATGATGTGCTACGACAAAGGGCACTTGGGGCGCGTGCTGCCACTCCAGCACACGGGGATAAAAAGTGAACAGGGCACAACAAGTTTTAGTTAACATTGGCCTACTAGAAGCACTAATCCTTACCCTACAAATTTTAGCAGAAAAAAAAAAGAAGTTTGATTACTTTCGTTCCTAGGAAATTTGATTTTTGAAAAAATCTTGGTACCCAACTTCTTACTTCATAGTGAAAATGCTTTGGATATGGCAGCCTCTGGTTATGGTCACGACACGTGCATGCTTGATAAAATTGAAATACTTTGTTTCACCTGCACTTCCACTGCTTTGCTCGGTACAGATTCCTATAGTATTAAAAACACTTTTACATGAATATTGGCAGTAACTATTGCAAGAGCAATCCACAACAAGTCGAAAATAGAGCAACCAATGTCCGTCAAGAAAAAAAAACAGCTAGTATTGTAACTTGATTGTGCGACAACCTGTAGGTGAAGAAATCCAGATTTATTTTTAGCTACTCGGAGTAATTAAATGGGCACATATAGAAAACCATACAAATTTTTTTGCATTTTATCGCCACAACCCTGAGCTTAGCAGTGAAACACCGTAACCACACTGCTAAGACAATGGGCAATTAGAAATAAAAAAAAAAACGCTTGCGCATACGCCGGTATATAAGAGCCATTCCTTTTCTATGTCGATCTCTTTTTATGCAGTCAAGTGCTGTAGTGATATGGACCCCTCGCACCCCACCCATGTTGGTTTGTGCTGTACTACATACCCATGTTCATGTCTGCATTAGTTCGATCTTTGCTTGTGCAGTACACCTTCTAGACTACAGACGGTGTACCACACACTTGTTAGTTATTGGGAAAAAGAGGTACACCCATGGCAAGTGAAGATTAAATACCCTCCTTTTCAACATTCTTTAAAGGTTTTCCCTCGTCAAAGGCGCGCATGTTTCTGTCGTTACCTGTAGTTTCTTCGCACCTGTGCTTCACAGCTACACTAACTGCAGTGAACTCCAACTTTTCATTTCCAATTAATCACAAGTTATCAACACTCTATGCAAGAAACTATTTTCAATTTCCATATGTACGCTGGAACAGGAATCAGATGCAGCCCGTTTTCGTGCAAAGCCAACCCACATTCTTCCCTTTTACCTGACTGCACAGGTAAACTCTTCTAACACTTAAATCTGGAAGTAGTAGCAGCAGTAAAGTGGCATTTCACACATTGAAAGCATGACACCAACAATGTGACACACTCATTATTACACAGGGGTGAATCAGAATATGGAAGGTTAATGTGTCATGAAGCGCAGTTATGGATGTGAAGAATAAGGGGAAATGAGGGGCTCAATTTCTTTGTTAGTGACAACTGCATGAAGCCCACTAAAGCACAGGAGGAAATTGACAGTTTCTTTCAGCTTTATAGTAGAAAAAAATAAGCAAAGAAAAAATACAACGGGTTGATGCCAAAACCACATTCTGTGCATCACAAGGGCAAAACTGTAATGGCCAACCTTCATTCAAGTTTCTTGAATGTTCGCGTGTATGCATCAGCGGCCATTTTGATATATGTTGAACAACCTTTCAACCAACCAAGCCATCGACTAAAACGAACAGTTAATTTTGCCCGTGCTTTTTCTAGCTTCATTTTTGTAACAATCATGGGGTGCAGCACAAGGTGACAATGACCATAACCATGGTGTAGCATGGGGAGCTTAGCCCAGTTGCAGTGAACTTGTAGTTCCACTAAAAGAATAAAAAAAAGGAGGTGCAGCCAAGCAAGGCAGGCAAATAAGCATGTGTTGTGAGACACAGATGGAGGGAGTCGATGGGTAGGGTAGCGAAAATGGTGCAGTCAGCTGACAACACAAAAGCAGGGCCAGAGATGGGGAGGGCCAGGAAAGGGCAGCCGCGCGAAATGACGGCGACGATGTTCACAGGTGCCCACCTTCTCGGTTTCGTAATCATCGACGTACTCTTGCTTTGCCTCATCTGGCAGTTCTCTCCACATCTGACCGATTATTTTGCCGATTTCCCACAACTTCAGGTCAGGGTTCGTAGCCTTCACCTGATCCCACACCTTAAAAAAAATTACAGGTCAATGAAGCTTGTGCCTCCCCCATTTCAGATCATCGCACCGACAACAGAGATGCTTGGAAACGATTAGGCAACCTCTGGAAAGCAGGAGTAACACGAGACGTGATCTAATTCGCAGTGAGGCGACAGATACACAAAATAGGCTGGTTATGCCAGGCGAGACGATCCTGAACCGCTCCACGCAAACGACCTATGGCACTTTTCTTCCTTTTTTTTCCCACAACAGAGTTAGGTAAACTGTAAGGCCTGTTACCTGTGCTGGCACAATTAAGCATGTGAAATTCACGAATGAGCCTAACTTGAAGACAAGTTGTGTGCGTGAGCACTAGCGATTTTCTTAAGAATTAGCAAGCAAACCAGCGCTAGACATTACTTTCATATAATCTACTAGCCTACCTAATGATGACTGATAATTGCAACTTGAGCGAGTTGGTACGGATTAATCTTGATTTACTGACACAGCTTTTCCATGTTTACAGGATTCTTTCACAAACATAGAGCACTGATATACTAGCACAAATACAACCCCCTGCACCAATCTTTTTTTTTCTTGGAAAAAATAGCTTGATAATGTGCCTTGAGTTTATAGTTTATAAATGAGGTTACAGCTGCTATAACTTTGTCCCTTTGAATTGTAGCAAGCTCTGCCGTAGGGTTTTCACTAAGCTTTGAAAAAAAAAAAAAAAGCCTGAATACGATCAGAGGCATGTGTCTGCAATGACAACAGCACAACTCAGTGCAATAAAGCTCATGAATACAATGCTAGAAAAAAACCAACTATGCCAATCAATGGAGCATAGGCCAAGTGGCATCAATACAAAAACACAACTATGCGAATGCAAATATGTCTAGTCCTACAGCGCATTGCAACGCTATTGAGATATCACATGCCGCGTCGAGAAGAGTAGCATTACAGTCAACTGCCGATTTTTCAGACACCCGAATTTTAGGACATGCCCGATCATTTGGACATCTTCGCAGCACCACCACGAGCCCCATAGAATCAATGTATAAGGAAATCTGAAATTTTGGACGCTCGAACCCCCCAGAGTCCAATTTTCCGGACTTTTTTGACGCGACGGATGGTCGGAAACCACCAGTGGAAACCACCACAACTACGTCACACGCGATTACAATCGCATAAATGAGCGCGCTGGTCTATTGTGGCGGCATCTGTTGCTTGGACTCGTTGATTGTTAGCGGAGAAACACACACGGCCTCCGAGATTCCTACAAATGGCCGTGTTTATCGTGCAAGGGCACTTCACTGGCAATCGAAACTATCCACCCAGAAATTTTTTGGCGCCAATAAAGTTCCTTTCGCTTTAGCGCTTGTGCTCGTGTGTGCCACTCTGGCTTCCGGCACAGAGCTTTCGCAAATCGTTTCACCACTTCGAACTAGAACTAACCGTCACACACCGATTTCGTCTGACCACGCTGGCTATCTTGAATGTTTACCAGCGCCACCTCCGGAGTACCCGAGGCACCGTCGCCTGCCGTAGCGCCATTTTGTTTACGCAGCCCACATGGTGTTTGGCTAGCCTAGTGCGTGGTTGTGCGATCGTGTGAAGTGTGCTCTGCAATGCTAAGCCTAGGTGCTTCGACGCTCGTCAGCAAACTCCTTTGTTCACATTGTGAGGATTTAACTTGCCTGCGATGGCCCCCACTCCACCTTCGTCGTAATCGCCGATGGTATCGAAGCGCGGAAAACGGTACCGTCGGTTAACGATGGAGAAGGAAGCCGCCATTATCAAGTTAGTGAAGAGTGGCCGATCGCAGGTTGACGTGAGCAAGGAGTTCGGCATTTCCAAGCAAACAGTTTCCGATTTTCTGAGGAACAAAGACAAGATCTTGGAAGTGGCCGAAAAACCGTCTGGTTCCCAAAAGATGAATGCAAGCCAAGGTGTTCATCCAAAGCTTGAGGACACTCTCGTCGTGTGGCTTAATTCAATGATTGCCAAGCGGTTGCCAGTCTCGGGCTGCATCTTGAAACAAAAAGCGGAAACTCTGGCGCTTCAAATGGACATCACGAATTTTAAGTTCAGTGATGGATGGCTGAGAAACTTTAAGCATCGGAATAACCTCAAGTTCAAGAAGATGTGTGGCGAAACAGCGCAGTTATTGCGCAATACCGCAGTGAAAAACTCCAGTCTTTGTTGCAGCAGTTCTCTGCTGACAACATTTTCAACTGCGACGAAACTGGCTTGTTTTACAAGCTGCTGCCGGAAAGAACACTCGCTTTTGCTGGTGACGCATGCCATGATGGCAAGCATGGTAAAGAACGGCTGAACGTTCTTGTCGGCAGCAACATGTCTGGCAGCGAGAAACTTCCTTTGTTAGAAATTGGGAAGTACAAGAGCCTGAGGTGTTTTAAAGGGGCAACGCTGCCAGTGTTATACGAAGCCAACAAAAAGGCATGGGTAGCGCAGCAGTTGTTCGAGAGTTACGCCCGCAGGTTGGACGGGAAGTTTGAACAACAGAACAGACGTGTTCTGCTCTTCGTTGACAACTGCGCTGCTCATGGTCACATCAATAACTTGAAGGCTATCCAGCTGGAATTCATGCCGCTCAACACGACTGCGATCCTCCAACTGATGGACCAAGGCGTTATCCGTAATCTGAAACTTTTGTACCATTCACGTATACTCAGCCGCATGGTGCTGTGCTCCGAAAATGGGAAAGGCTACAGCGTTGACCTTCGGTCTGCTGTCGAAATGCTTGCAGACGCATGGAAGGCAGTAACGCAAGACACGCTTCGCAACTGCTTTCGCCACGCGGGCTTCGTTGACGAGATTATCAACGACCTCCGCTCTGCTGGTGCTTCCATGCCCACGGAAATAACTTTTGAGCGGTTCCTCGACGCTGACAACGAGCTTGACTTCTGCGCAGAGCTAACCGACGACAAAATAGTCAGTCAGGTTATGGCGGATTCAGACGACTCCGATGTCGAAAAAGAGAAACCAACGCCTGCGCAACCTACGACCACCGAGTTGATGTGAGCATTGATGACGTTGTCATCGGTGTACAGTGATGACATGACCCTTGCTCAGATCGAGGCGAATGTGATCACATGCAAGCGGAACGCCGTTCAAACAAGGATCAACAAGTTTTTCAAGCCACTGCAGCTCTAACACCGGCTGCCCTGACGGCACCTGCTGTCGGCTGCATGCATTTTTTTTTAACGGCTCTTTTCAAAGCCACCCCACTGATGCATTGGCAGAGTTGCGAAAGTCTGGTACTTCGACTTTGACCCTCTTGATCCGAGAAATAGTTCATTTCAAATATCAATGAAATGGCGCATTTTTTGCTTGCATTGAGAAATATTAGCAAAATGGTACGTTTTTCTTGCTTGCATTGAAAACTATCAGTAAAATAATGCGTTTTTTTTTTTCTTGGATTCATTTTTTCGGACTGCCCGTGCTCCCTAGAGGGTCTGAAAAATTGGCAGTTGACTATACAATGTAAAGCTGCATGGGTTTGAGTCTACAGATTACACGTACTGCTATGACATACATCCCATAGCTGCATTATGCATAGTTGATGTGTTTTACAGTCATAATAATACAGTAGACTCTCACTGAACGAAACCTGCAAGGACCAGGAAAATAGGCTCCATTTAACGGGAGTTCCGTTTGCGGGGAGATGAACAAGGGCGCAGAATAAAAACATAAAACCAATCTTGTCCGAAGCACTTGTTCCATTTGAGCAACAGTTCCATTTAACAGATTTCCATTTACTGAGAGTCTACTGTATGTACAGACCTTTGCTTCCACCTCCTTCAGTTCGTATCATATCGACATAAATTTTACTCTGAACACTTACAATAGAATAAGCTATGTTTTTAGCTGCCAGTTTCGTAGCAACATGACACAGTGATTTCAAGCAAAAACACCTGTCATTATGCTGCAAGTTTCGGTTTCACGTTTTAGTCCATGGTGACTGCACATTTCTACTTTTGTAAGTTTATTCACAGCATTAGGTATATTTATGCGAATATGTTCTCAAAGTCGATGCTGGGGAAATGAGCAAACCCATTACATGTATGGAGAGAGAGGTCAATCATGCATTGTTTCTCAAACAAACATGGTTGTTTCGAGATTACTCGTTCCGTAGATACATAGCATCGTAGAGCTAACTTCAAAAAAGTACGTAGTACTACAGGTAATGCCACTAAAGGTTTTACACCCATTTTCCCAGAAGCCTTTGCCGCTACCTCTCACCACAGTCTTGTTTTTTTTTGTTTAGATTTTGTGCACATATGGCATTACATGATCAAGATATATATATTCAGCACAGATTGACAAGTTTTAATTATGACTTTACAAGGAAGCTTTGCCAAGGATCAAGCTCTTGCATGTTAATGATTTGCTGAACTGCAAAAAGGAAGAATTGAGATTTCACGGTCTATAAACAATTGTATCGGGCCAGTTGGTAAGGATCCATCTTGCTAGGAAGCGCAGCCAGTATTACAAAGAACACACAAGTTAAGCGCTTGTGTTGTGTGTTCTTTGTAATAGTGGCTGCGCTTCCTAGCAAGATGGTTGACGGTCTAGTTTGCTCAGCATTTTTCGGAAGACGTGGTGAGAGGCTCAGCTCGCGATCAGAAGTCTGCAACTCACGCAACGTGCATGCGCATGCGAGTAAGAAAGACGCCAAAACACGAAACGCAAGGAATCTAGGCACCTTGTTGACCTCAAGAGTGGCCAAATTTTTTAACAACTATTTCTTCGATTATTTACATCTTTCTCACTGAAGTTTCTTTTCTAACAAGCCACAAACGTAACATTATGTTAGCACTTTCAAAGCATAAGCTGTTGCGTGAACACTCTTCAAGTTTGACCATTACAATGTTGGCATTTTCTTATAAGACATAGGACAGCATAGCTCACATAAGGTTTCTTGTCATTCAGCTAAAGAGCCACCAAAGTAACGAGAGTATGCTTCTGCAAAGCAGAAGTAATAAGCTGGGGTGGCCAAGCAGCTTATTAAAAGAAATATTTGGCTACTTTTTGATCACTACTGTGTTTACTTTGTACTTGTCCCCCTTACTTGATGCCGTACTAGGCTATGTAAGGTATGATGAATAAATAAATAAAATAAAGCAATGCTCATTCTCATAAGGATTCCAAAGTCTATCAATAGAACACAGCACCACACTAACAATACAACTTTCAAACTAATGGCACATTAAAGGGACACAAAAGAGGAAAAAAATTTTTCACTTTTTAATAAAGCAAAATTTGACTATCTCGAAAGCACACTCTTACTGCGATACGACGCTTAGTAAGCGAGGAAACGCTTGAAAAGAAAATGCAGGTGGCGACGCCACTTGGAGATTCCCGCACCAAACACTGTGACAAAACAAATTTCGAATGTGTCTACTGGGTCCTACGTAGCTTCCAATAGATAAAAATGAAGTGCATTGTAATCTCTGGTTGCTATAGCCATGGCATACAAAGTTTCAGAAAATTTCATCTAGCCGATCTCACAAAAATACCGAAAATACACTGAACTCTCTTACGTCACACACTGAGATTTTAGCACAAATTTTAAAAATGAAACTTAAGCTTTTTTCCGCGAATAACGAACTTACGAGAGTGAAACATGTGGCATTAGAGTTCTCAAAGTGCATTTTGTTAATCTAAACCAAATCATTGTTTCTCTTTAGTGTCCCTTTAAAATAAGCTGGCAATCATGAGAAAAGACAAAATCATTCGAGAAGAAGAAAGAAAACAACATAGGGCTGAGTTGCAAACTGCTGGTCTTACGGCAGAGGTGTCATGTTGACGTTAAGAAGCAAAAAATGATAAACCTGGGGGGGCTGTAATCCTTACCATTTTCCTTACCTTTCTACTGTACCTCATGTAAGGCATCAGGGGTTTATCAGGTGGCTTTGGTGGTTTGGGCACACGACTTTCGGCCTGCACAAGTAAGGGAAGGAACAGCGAAATTTAATTTATCCTCCAAGGAATCGGCAGTCGATAAAATCAATGCTTGCCCATCCAGATATCAGGCGGTGCAAAACAGAATAAACAAACATTATCAGACAAGGTGTTCTGACCATTCAGAAGTATGGCAATCAACTTATTAGAATGGCAGATTGCTAAAATATTTAATGATAAGCAGGTTTTATAAGATATTAAAGTGTTCATATTTAAAAAAAATCAAAGCTACATTTCTTTAGATGTATGTAGCCATTCTTCAAGATTTTATTTATATTTGTTTGGCTGATTTACAATTCCATAAATTACAAAATATTTTTTAAAATCTTGCCATCAAAAAAAAAAAAAAATACTGGCTTCAAACCCGGCTACTGTTCGCTACATTACCATTCATGATTAAAGGGGCTTTGGAACACGAGTGCAAGTAATCATTGAATCGCTTCATCAAAAAGAGTTTAGTGCCTCAAGAATCGACCGCGGAAGAACTTTGTAGATTCATTCAATTACAAGCAGAGTTGCAGGGACTTATCACACCCTTCAAGCGCTTCCTGTCTCCTTTCATAGCAGCCAGTACACTGAAAGCTACGCAGCGAGGATGATGACAAGAAGGCTAGAAAATGCGTTCGTTCGCCTTCATCAGCGAGCATCATTACCTTGAGCACTTTTTTTTTTCTTCTTTGAACAAGCAATTTACTTTCGGCGCGATCGTGAGCAGGCACGTGGCAACATCCTGCAGTGGTCAAGATAACTATGCAGATCATGACGCTTAATTCAGCCCACGGCTGTGGACTTTCGACGTAAGGGGCAGTACGCTGGGTATGTGTCGCAAGATAACGCAAAAAGAGACTGTGGTTGCTATCGCTCCCACTTGAATGCGCTGCGAGCAGCCGCCGGAGTGCGCAGGACACGTGTCACCATGTTCCCTTTCATGAAAATTGACACTGTACATGACAGTTCTGTCTGTGCTCTGTACTTGTTTCAAATGAAGGTTACCAGGAAAATCGCTTAGACGATAGACAACAAAACCACCCAATTTGTCACCGAATTTGCTTTTTTAAAAATACAGCCCACTTTTAAATTTTACACCTCTTATCTAAAAAAAACACTCAGCCAGAACTTTTATGCTTTCATTTGTGTTTTAAAATGTGGGCCAGCTTCATAAAACAGAGCATTCACAAAGTAGATCAAACCTTTGGTTGCAGCTACCCCACAAGAAAAAAGTTGTCTAGGCCACAGTCAACTTCTTTTCGCATGCTTCAGATGGGAAAATACCCCAGCCTCTCCATTTACAGTCATTTCAGCATTTTGTCGGGGTTGTCAAGATCACAGAGCAAAACGTTGAGACACACGCTCGGAAGATGCTCCTCTTTACAGGGAAAGCATTGAAAATTCTCTGGATATGAATTTCATCATGATCAAGAGCCCAGTCCTACTACAACTCGAGGCTGTTCAGAAGGCCCATGTGATGGTGAGGGGCCTGTCACATGGGCCCACAAATGGCGGTGAGGCTAGCCTATCCATCCCTAGGTGGGAGCAGGACCATGAACCTCCCCTTCAGGACTTTAATAAAGTTTTTTATCGGTCTACTTTGGTTGCTGTGGAGAGAACACCGGACACAGAGATAAAATATAAGAAGTCTATTAAAGCAAATCAGCAAAATTTATTGGGCATGCAAGTGCTTCCCATTACTCATTCACTACATTAATGCGCCATAGGCTGAGGTGAGAAACAAGGAGGGCATGAGCTTGCGAGACAGGTGTTAGAGAGCTGCAAATATGTATCAGAGGGAGTGTAGACGTAGCAGCACATTTGTGGTCGGGAGTCAAGCAGAGTTCCTTCTTTTGAATAACTGCTCCATGGGCCGAAGTCATTCCAAGCACGCACGACATTTTTTTGCCACCGCAAAGAAAATCAGTGAAGGAATATCGCATCTTAAGTTTCTTATTCTGCAGCGATTGTACAAGCTCGGAAGAATGCAGATGCAGAATGTGTTTGTATTCAGTGGTTAAGGATAACGAATGAAGAATGATGAAGTGTTCTCATGGCATGTTAAGCCAGTGTGAGTGTACCATGGTGCATGATTTTTCTACACATTAAATGTGTTGTGGGCTGTGCATACTTGATGAAGAACCTAATTCACCGACTACCGTAGCTGACATTCTAAGCAGTGCTTACTATGCAGGCACACTACTTTTCTTTTTAAGTGCCTTTCCCTCGAGAGAGGGCTCTTAAAGTTGTGCTTTAAAATCCACACTGTTTTCCCATCGTACAGAGGCATCATATTTTGCAGACATGCTCACTGCCAACTGACCTATGCACTAAGTTTTACGGTGAGGGACTTGTTTTCAGAGAAGTGATTAAGGTAACTTAGTGTGATCATATGCACTTGAGCACTAAAGCTACAGGTGTCATTTAAAAGATGGTGAATCTAGATTCCATGGTAGGAAAGATTCACCAAAATAGTGATGTGGTGAAGTAGAGGATGTTTGTACATCTTGTGAACACTATACGTCAGCAAATACACCACGGCCAAATCAGGGGTGCTACAGATATTTAGAGGAAAGCAAATCCACGAGTGTGCTCACGTATACGAACAACACTTACGCCTGCAACGCCACGAGATCCCAACTTGAGTGGATTGAATGATGGGTGCCCATGTGGAGATGGCACGAAAGGGCTGCTGTTGGCAGAAGGCTGCAGATAGCAAGATGCTCAGTCATTAGTAAAAACTGTGTGTGTGGTTAGCAGGAAAACATCATGACACAGAGGGGATATCTGCGGGCTAATTTTCAGTTACAAGCGAACAACATTATATGGGAATTTCGCACGCAATGTGTTCAAAACTGCAGTGGATAAAAAGAATGTACGCTCCAGTAGCATGGGAAATGTAAAACGTACGAGGATGGTTGAAAATTAAATTACGGTCCCGTATGACATAAACCGGAGAGCTTTTTTTTATTTATTTCAAATAGCACACATAGGGGAAAAAACTGGAAAGGCGCACAATGAGACAGCTCTGTTGAAAGCACAACGGAGCAATTATTATTACTGCTTGTTTTACAGCAAAGAAGATAATAATATTTTCTGTTATCTGATTGCGCCGCTTCAAAACTTAGCACAAAACACTCTTTGTACAAGAAGATACATTCACAATATAACGAGAGGCAACAGCACATACCATCGGCGAGCTTGAATTCGAAGTTGTGCCTTGCGCCCGAGTCCTTTCTGTAGATTACAAGGGGGAAAAAAGGGAAAAAATAAGACATCACAAATTCGCCACACCACTTGACATTCGCGAAGGCTGCCGCTACAGAAATATGTATCGATTTTCCTGCGCACTCATTCCTCCATTCATTTCCGGCGGGAAACAAGAGCATCCTGCGGCGATCGCAAGTAGCGCGTAGAGACAGAGTGGCAGGTAGCTGTGCTTATCGTGCTCGCTAAATAAACGAGCCCGAGCTCCTCGATGTCGTTAACCGAAAGCTAGCACCACAGAAAGCAGTGAGACCGACACACCGCTGTGCCGGCTACTGCCTCGCTGAGCGCAAGAAAAATTGAAGGCACGTTGCATCGCTTACGGGGTGCAGGCGGGGTCGCAGCGGCGATCTGCGCTTGCCGGTAGTTGGGCGGAAGGGCCATTGTCGCGAGTTACAACGCTGGTACAAGGTTAATGTCCCCGTACATTCGGGCAAAAGGTAGCAGACGACTTAAGACGGCGCGATTAAGCTCGCGCACGGCTAACCCAGGGGCTCATGGCGGAAAAGGTGTTCTATGGCAGAAAGCTTCGCGCGTTGAGCAAAACAAAAACTAAAGCAAAACTGGCGTCACCGATGATGGCACGCGCGGCTCTCAAGCTCCCGTGATGGCCGTAGAGGACGAAAAAATCTACCGCGGCGAGTTTCGTCATATGCGCGTATAGTGGAACTACTAACTCCTCTTTTAGTGGTCAGATAAGTTCGTGTGCAATTTTCCTGTTAAGGGCGCTAAACTGGGCTAAAAATTTTGCTTGAGGATGTATCAAAAGATCGCTAAAAAAGTAGTTGCTATGGCGTTTTTCATTAAAAAATTATTAAAATATTTTTATTACTTCTACTAATGATACAAGTGTGGTGATTGTTTTAGTTCAAGTGTTGAGATTATCCTGACGCTCGAAAAGCAGCGGCCCATTGGCATCGATTGCGTTTCTGTCCTTCTGTTAATTTTGAGAAACTCTATGCTTCTATGCTGTTAGAGTGTACTAGAAGTGTTGAGTGGCGTCACTGGCGTGACCGCGCCTCGCCACCTGATCCCTTCTGCTCTGCGTTGCCCGCAGCGGCGGCGCTGTAGTCGAATAGTACTAAAAGAGCCGCGTGCAGGAACTGCTATGTGCTTCGGCTCCTCCAGCGTGTTTTCTTGATGAAGATTTCTTCGTACCTGCCCATAATTCTTGTCTAGCACACGATGCTATAGCCCTTGAAGTATGACACGCCAATCTACGGGATTTGAGCTCCATAAAAGCCCTTGTGAGATATCGAAAATAATTCAGAGAGGGTGTGTCTTATAATGATTTCTTCTCTCTTAAATCTTTCTTCCTTGGTTAGGCGTCTACAATATTCAGAATAACTGAGCCGATTTATTGGACGTTAGCTGTGCTCAGATAGCTGTGAGATTAAAAAACAAATACTGTGTCACACGCACACAGAACCAGAAAGCCATAAGTAAAGAGTGAAGAGAAAGGGAATCTGAACCCCCTACACCACGAGATGTATTCGTAATTTACTTTTTCAGGCTATACTAATATATTTACATGCATTCACAGCGACCAATAAGTGCCAAAGTTAGGCGTGATGCTGCACACCCCACCCCCTCAGAAAAAAAAAAAGAAATCTGCCATGGGTAGCCCTGCGCCAATAGTTTACAGTTGTCGAAGCTGAATATAACGTGTCTCTACAAATGCGCACTGTATATTTCACCTGTTTACTGTGTACATATACAAGGAAGGTAAATATCCCAAAACAAGATGCACTACTGCCTGCCAACACTTCTGATACTTAATAAAAGAGCTATGCTTATAATACAAAACATCGTCATAAATTTGTTCGCTTGAAATGGCGTTACGCCAATAGAATACTTGGAAAGCAGCACAATTTAAGCTGTCGATACAAAATGAGAACTGGTTACAATGAATTTACGCAGATTAACAGACGGACTATATATACAATTGGCACTTTTTGATATATTTGTGTGTTGTTTTAATAAGTTCAATTTGTATTAGGCCTTTAGGAAAGCAATAATTTTCTTCCGCAAAACTAGCATAATAAAACAGAGTCATCACCGATTAATGTTGCGACAACGTTACTTAAACTCAGGTTTCTCGTCAAATAATCGAGCGATGTAGGCTCATATGAGGAAAACTGTGCTCTGGATATCGTAGAGACTGCCGTCAAAAAAGCGTATGAATTAATCACAATTTTGATACTTCTTCTCTTTTTGTAGTTCGCCAGTAGCCACTTATGATGTAACGTAGCTCAAAGCACTGATTGAGAAAGAAGCTAGGCGGATCCGTGAAAATTCCGATTCACATTTTTTTTGTGTGGGTCGGCAGGCTCTTGAAACAGTGAATGTATCGACGTAATTTCGGCGTGCCTGCATATTAACTCGTGAATCATGGCGCGTAGCAGGTGTGTCATCTGATAAAGACTCAGAAACACAATAAACGCGCTAAAAACTAGCAAATACACGCTTTCGCAGGCTCGGGCGCACGCGCTCTCTATGTAGACGCTTTTGAGATCTTCAGTACCATGGGACTACAGCGCCGCCGCTACTGTCACCCGCCGGAGAATCAGCCGAGATGCGATGCGGCGCGGCCGCCTCGTTCACCCCACTGCCCCCTTCTAGTACGCTGTACTTCTGTCCGTTAATTTGTTCAAATTGTCCGCGGTACGTTTTGTCGTTCGGCATTGCGAAGCTCCGTTTTAATTCAGCTTTGATATATCAATGCGATCTTGTGTGTCAGACTTTACGGGCAAGGTTCTGTTTGGCGTTGCATAAATCAATTGTCAAACTTAGGGATGGTTGTTGCCAGACTGCCACTAAATTTGGCAGAAAAACTTGCCCCTGTAGTTGTGACTTCTTCATGAGGGTTTGGTGTCATCCGCGGTGCATTTCGCGAGCGCATGAGCGATCCTTGCCGAACTCGGCAAGGGACGCTGAACGTTTTAATTAACGAAACGAACTGCGCCTTGCAGACGTTGGGATGCGTTCTCTTGCTGTGTGTGCTGCTGTGCAATTAAGAGATCGTGTCTCAGTATCATAGACGACGGGGAAAATGGAATAGAAAGAACTTGTAGTTGGGCTTGAAGTCAGCGCTGAAGAGGTCGTGCCCGCACAGCATGAAACTTAGTTTCCTCAATCAGGTGAGCCGATTAGAGGCTGCTAGGTTTTCTCGATTGGTCATTCCGACCGTTGCTGAATCACTTCTGCAGAAGTTTAAACGTGGAACACGAGAAGCGATGACTGCTACCCAGCCCTTGAGGATTAGGCCACAAGTTGTGCCATATAACCATAAGTTCTCGCACAACCTCAAGAAAGTCGTGGCCAGGCACGGCTTACCGATGGGGTTTTTCGCACCCGAAAAAAAAAAATCGGAAGACTGTGCCAACGTGTGTGCGATAGCAAGAAACGTGGCTGCGAGAAGAAACATGAGAAGGCCTTTGTTAAGTGTTGCACGGGGGTCATGTACTCCATACCCTTATCCAGCGGAAAAGTGAACATTGGCCAAACCGAACGATGTATTAATGACCGGTTAAGGGAACACACCCAAAAATGAACAAAACGAGATGACAAGTATGCGCACCTGGTTGCGCATGTCATCTAGTGTGGTTGTGACGCACGATTTTCTGATACGAAGATTCTAGGCACAAGCGCAAGTAAAACTGCACGTGAAGTGTTAGAGGCCTTTTCCATTGAAAAAAAATAAAGATAACTGTGTAAGCGCCCCTTCGCTATCATTGATACCAAGCGAATTCCAGTTTATCGCTTTGAGGCAATTACATTGATTAACTGTATGTATTGATAATGTATGCTGTTGCCCTTCTATGGTGTTAGTGCGCACATGTGTCATGTATATATTCAAGCCTTCGACCTATGAATAAATGAGTTGGAAGTAAGCGCTGTGTGTGTTTGATGCTTGGTGTGTGCGTGTGTGAAAGATCGTGTCGTGTGTTCGCGTTCGAATTAACTTTTGGAAAATTGAATAGAGTCGCAAAAGGTGGTGCGCTGCCCCCCCCCCCCCCCTTTCTTTTTTTGTGACAGCTGACCATGCCACGTCGACCACGCGCCACGACGGCGACGCTACGCTTCCCCTAGCTAGGGGGGGGGGGCAGCGCACCACCTGCTGCGACTTTATTCAGTTTTGCCCGTCATCCCTAATACTGGGACGCGATCTCTTAATTTCACAGCAGCACACACAGCAGAGAACGCGTCCCAACGTCTGCAAGGCGTGGTTAATTTCATTAATTAAAACGGCCAGCGTCACTCATGCACTCGCGAAATGCACCGCGGACGACACCAAACCCTCATGGAGAAGCCACAACAAGAGCGAATTGCTTCGCCAAATCTGGTGGCAGTTTGTCAACACTGACCCCCAAGTATGGCAACTGATTTATGCAACGCCAAACAGAACCTTGGCCCGCTACGACGAAGCGAATGTGTCTAAAGGCTGTGAACCATGTCAGCTGTTGTGCTTCACCGACGTCCGGCTGCGCAGTCTCCAGCGGGATAATTCAACGCCGGCAAATCGCTCGGAGACTGCCTACGAAGACGGAATAATCTTGCGCAATGTGGGCGTGTTCGCCGGTGAGTGAAAATACGCAGCTTTGCATCTGAACATGGCCCTTTTATTTTGCATGCGCTACAGTTTTTGTCATTTCATAAGGCTTTTCGACTTGTACATCTAATGAGATGCACACCTTGTCAATGTTTGAGATTGTTTAGTTCGTTGTCACATTCACTGAAAATATCTTTGCTGCTAAAATTTGTAGCACAGATCACAGCATAAGTTCTACCTGTTTCTGCTCAAAATGAGTCTGCTGCAATATATGCTCATAAATTCAATGCATAATAGAGCCAAGTGAACCTTTACTACATATACGCATTTGTACATTTTTCGTAAGTTTACAATGAAGCATATTACATTTTGCATGAACCATATAGTACTTACCTCTACGTGACAAACTTTGCATAGAGCATCACATATAACTAGGTAACAAACGGGCTTGTAGTATAGCGCATATTTAGCATCACTTATTTTTCACATTGTGTATAGATTGCTGTGAACGTAAAGACTGTTGCAAGGCAGTGGTGGGTACAGCTATACAAAAGTTGAAACAGTTACTGATACCGCGTGCATGTTGCTAATGACACCATCAAGGTTATAAAAAAACTGTGCAAGAGCAAGACATGTCTTGTAGAGGTAGCAATCGCGGTGCCGAACCATGAGAGTAAAATAACTAGAAGAATAAGGAGGAATAAGAATGGGTGGATCACATTCGGCAAGCATTCTCAAATCATGAATGATAATGTGTCACTAACTCTCAAGAGAAAGATATATAACAGCTGCGTCTTGCTTGTACTTACCTAGGGAGCAGAAACCTGGAGGCTTACAAAGAAGGTCCAGCTTCAATCGAGGACGACGCAGCGAGCGATGGAAAAGAAATTGTGAAGTGTAACCTTAAGGCACAAGAAGAGAGCAGAGTGGGTCAGGGAACAAATCGGCGTTAGAGATATCGTATAGTTGAAATCACGAAGACATGTACATGGGCTAGGCACGT